CCCTACGCCACATCCATGCTTTCTGCCTAGATAAACCTATTACAGTAAGTATTAAGCTACTCGCTCATATCTTTCTTGCCTAATGTCTGGAATAAAGTTAACACACTGCAGTAGATATCTTCTCTATTCATTTCTAAGAGGTGGTTTTAGTGAGTTAAAATCTTACACTGTGATTGTCGGTGGTTTCTACATAGGTACAATAAAAAAAAAAAAATTTATTATACATAAAAAATTTTGAAGTTTTTAAAAAGGTTGAAGGTAATTGACTACCGAATTGAAAAAAAATGGTTTGTAGCAATTAAAATAATTATGCAAGCCATAAGCTCTTATCATTATTTCACTCACTTAATATGAAATAAAAATTGTTTACTTCTTCTTTTGAATGGGCGAAGGATGATTTTAATTATCATTAAAAAAGTTTTTCATTGAAATATTTTATGTGAGACCGTAAAAATTAGAAATAATTTAATGCGTTTTGCTGTTTTTTTTCAAAAAAAAGAAAAATATTTTAATAATTTTAATCTAAATAAAAAATTGTGTAATTATTTGAAGGCATGAAGTCAGAAATTTGAACACAAATAATATTTTTAAGGTATTTCAATGTTTCATAAGAAATAAGGAGTATTAATGCGGCTGTAATGAGGCACCACAACTTCATACATTTTTTTTAAAAAAACCCAAAACTATTAGGTGAATATGGGAATGTATCGCTTAAATGTCATTTTATTATAAATATATAAAATATATAATAAACTTAGACATAAAATTTAAGATATTGTTTACTAACAAGTGGAAGAAAATTATTTGTGTTACAAGGATCACACTTATCATAAACCTTATCACTGATTTATGTGATAATAAAATTATAATTTTTAAAAGTAAATTAGAAAGCTGTGAAAGATAAAACTAAAGTAAAAGCATATTTTAAAAACTACAAATATCTGTAGAAATATTAATTGACCATATAACTCACAACCATTATTTGGCTTCATAATAAGACACATTTCAATCAAATAGGTGACGAGTAATATCGTGAAAATGTCATTTAAAAATAGATGATATTGTTGTTAATATCATGAGATATACCATCAACACTCAAGTAATACATTATATCAAGCATAAACTTTTAAATTTTTAAAGGAACCTATTATATATAATAGAAGTATGAGTTCCTGATGATATAGCTATAAATCTATTGTAGTACCATACTCAGTATACACTAGTGACATGCAAACATTGGACCGTTATTTATATTAAAGTGATATTTATGATATATATTTTGGTTTATACTTCTCAACGTTATATATTTTACTAATAGATAAATTTCAATATCATTTCTGATAAATACCATAAATATTTTATATACTCCTAATTATGCAACAATTTTTTACTATATTATATTATTGTCTGATTCCAAATTTCATACTAAATGTAGTAATATTCATATTATTGAATATATTATTGAATAATATCGTATAATTTAGAAATATTAAACCTTCAACAAATATAATTGCTTTGTAATTTAGTCACCAAAACCATCACCGTTAAGTTTGAGCAACGCGGGGGCGTAATTATTTATGTCTGCGGAACATGTCAGCGTGACAAAGCGTTGCAAAGGATTTAAAACCGTGAAAGTTAACAGCACGTAAAATGTCAAGCAATGCTCCAGAGGATTTCAGGCAGTCACTGTTAAAGTTCTGTGAATAGTGCAAATGAGTTCAAGCAACCTTCAAGCTTAGCAACATCAGTATTTACTGCTCATAACAAAAGGAAAAGTTTCATTGCTCTCAGCAAATTTTCTAAGTAGTGCATTTGTGATGATAAATAAATGTTGGTAGACAAAGTATCCTGAATTTGCATTAGAAAAACGTACGCTATTGTATTTGGAAACTTTTTGAATATTTTTCAAGATCCTTAACAAAGATTTCAAAATATTATAACAAGGGTATAATATAAAAACGTACAATCTTATCATACACATATTTATTTTAATCAATCAGTTCCAAATATACTATTTATTAATCGAGAATAGTATTCTAATACTTCGTCAGAAATTTAAGATTAATTTTTTTTTCTATTTTAGTGGTCTTTGCTAGCAATTTATCTTATTTTATTCTATACTCCATATATTTAGCTTACTTATTTTTTTTCTCTTTCGGTTTGCTTGCTGTCTGTTGGAACTTTGGCTGTTGTTTCCTTTAATGTATTTAAGTTAGTTGAGCACTGATTGTATGAGTAACTGAAGTGAAGAGGTTTATTTTTTAAATTTTTTTGCTTTTATAATTATTTATTATTATCTAGATGTCAGATAATAAACAGAAGGTGTATAATAACAATCACAAAATATTCTACAACACAATATTTAAGTTTAACTTACAATGCATTGTTTATTTAATATTATGAAATGAGAGGATTATTATATTAATAAGTTTTTTCTAGTTTATTAAAGTAATTAAAAGTAACTTCAATTTATTAATAAAATTTATTTGATAACTAAAAAGAAACAAATTGTTTACTTTAAGACATTGTATTTACGTTATTCTGTTGAGGGTATATCAGCAACAGACTGTTTATTTATAATTGTACATACTTTGGTATCTCCGATACTCTCGTACAATTTCCGATACATAATAGTATTTATGAATGGAAGACTTAGTGACAAGATGTTACATGATATGATAAAAACGGACGAAAACATGTCACAACTACTTAATCTCCTTGGATGGTACCATTACTGAACAAAACACTTATTTGATTAGTTAAGAACTCTTATTTGTTGACATAAATCTACTTAGATTAGAAGTGGCACAAATATATTATCAACTAATTCAGAAATAAAATTAATTTATTGTGACATTCGTTTATCTAATACAAAAACGTATTAGATAAAGAATATTAGACATATGATTGACTAATAAGTAACAATATGAGTGACAGCCAATTAAGTTTCAATGCAAATTGCCAAGGTATCCTTGTTTACTGCCATTTAAGATTAATTGCTGGTAGGAATTTTCTGCCCGGTTTCCTAATTGTGTGTCATTTTACTTTTTATGTTGCCGTTTTGATTTGTGTTAAAATTGTTCCTGGCAGCTGTCTACATTTGTCAGCCTATCAGCCCATCAGCCCAACAGCCAGTCACTGTCTGAGTGTTGTAAAAACAATTTGAATTAATTTATCGTGTAAATGATATCCTTATTACACACATCAGATGTGCAACAGAGTATGTCATACAAATATAAGTGTGTACTTCTACATACATGAAATTTATTGTTAGCACCATAACACCAGATGTAAGTATGTACAATTTTTCTAAGAAACAGTTTTTATTTTTCGAACTAAGCAGTTATTGGGACTGTTGAACTGTTTAGGATCACGATTTATGGACTAACCGCGAAGACGACCTCACAAGCCTAGTTTGGACAAAAATAAAACAAATAGACTCTCGGGCTTCAGCAGGTTCAGCAGGCATTGTGCCATTGCACCTATACTCCAACGGCGACGAGTGGATTATGTAGGAGTTGACAAAATGAAGAGGCGGCAGGTTCCATCAATTACTTTCTGTGTCTCTGTATAGAACTGCACAAAAATGACTTCAATGACTTGGGGATCGCTTTTTCACAGGACTGGAAGAGATAACGAAAGCAAACTTATCGGATCTTCTCAACTTCATTAGGAAAACCAAATGGTTTAACAACGATAGAAGATAACAAAGGTTAGCAAACTACCTCTCCCGGTATAATGTTTGAGGGGATCACAATGGACAATATATGCTTCCGAGTGGAAGTGCTGATAACTGTCAGCACGCGCCTTCTCAACCTAACATAGCATATACAAATTTTTGACTTAACAAAATGCAATTTATTATAAACAGTAAAAAGACAGTTCCACTACATTCGATAAAAAGAAGCTTGACTGAATCTAAACATATTTGATATATCATTACTTGTTTAATACTGAAACAAATAAATAAATAGAGACTATTGAAATCTCCAAATACTTCTCAGCGCTTAGTAATTACCAGTATGCAGAGCCATGTTCAGCCTGAAGTGCCCTGTCAGAACAGCGGTGAGAATTTAAATATCCTTTCCGTTCAATATAAAGAAACCTTTTGAAGCTATTCTAGAAGAATTGATGAATCTCTTAGTCAGTCTATGGTCTTTGTAATTCATCCAGTAGTATTTAAATGTTACTATCTTAGTTTGTCCACCATATGCTAGGTGGACAGAGTAAAGAAAAGGTGTGGTTAAATTAGTTGACATTAACCTTCTCGTTTGACGAAACAATCAAACTATTTTTTCTCTCATGTCTTTTATGTCCCAGACACAACCACAGTTCCAAATACAGTTCCGTTATTTTGCTCCTCATTTATTGAAGAGCTTCGAACGATAGTCCAGTATATGAATTATGACAAAAGGTTATGCATGTAAGGTCGCTTGGCTGACACATATTATTGATTACCCCTCACTTATTAACCATATGCCATTTACATTCTGGAACCAACAACAAAGAAACTTAGTTTTATGAGAATTGTCAAATTTGAATGGATTATATCATAATTTAAGTCGAGTCAGACGGCTTAGCCGTCAGATATTTTGACAAGTGCAGATATGTTTTTATATCACCGCAAACTTTTGAAACACAGAATTCTATGGAAAATAGCAGTGCTGGAGAAACAGTAGGATATTCACCCATGGCAAAGGTTTTCAGAACAGCAGGTTGGGTATATCTGTCCGAGTGCTAACACTCTCATATTGGGAACCATATGTTTATCAACGTAGCGAACTCTCACTTATTTATGTTAAACGCTCTGCCCAATATTTTCTATCTGGAATGTTAAAAATGCCAAATAATGTAAAAATTATGTATATATTATTTTTTTATTGTGATATATATAAGTTATGCTATGTCATTATTATTAAAAGTAAAAGATATGGAATACTGTGAGCAGTACAATCTTCATTTACAAAATAATTTATTTTATTTAAAATTAATTAGAGCATAGAATAATTTAATGCTTGCAAGCAATTACTTTTTATAAGCATTAATCATAGAATAATATTTAGACTTTAATTTTTACATTGATTTTAACATTGATTATTTGCTTAACATTTTTTGATAATTGGGAAGTCATTAAAAACAACTACTTAAAAACTCGACAAGAACATTTTCAGGAGCAGCTGCCAGTGCCATAATATCTCCAGCTTGGTTAACCTTTCCATCTGCTTCAGCTTCGTTGATATTAGCGAAATGAACTTCTGCTATGAAATACTTCATCTTATTGCGTTCATAGTGAGTAGTATAACAGCGCAACAAATATCTTATAAATTTATTGGCTGCCGGTGCAAGTGTGGACAAAAAAATGAAGAAATGCATATATCGTATGACGTAGAACTGTAGATAGAAATCTTGCACAATTAAAGGAACTATTTGGTACAGTGCAAGTGAGGATAAGTAGAGTTCTATTAGGAAACATGCAACCGGCACACATATTTCTATTATTACGCTATTTATGTTGAATTTATGAAGTTCTTCAGAGAAGACACGCTTTATTGCACTTCTTGCGTCAGGTACATGTAATATCCCATATAGTAAAAAGCCAAAATCTCTTATTTTATTTTCATCGAAACCCACTTCACTATATATCATAAAAGTTGTTTGGTGATATATTAAAGTTACTAAATAATAACTGAAGCAAAAAATGGAATATGCAAATATGCGATCGACATTGTACACAATTATGTCTCTCCAGTTCAGTACATAAATTTGATTATGAAAATCATTACAGTATAACACCAAAAGAATAAGATATACTTCCACGGTGCCCGGTATCCAAAAAAGAATAATCGAAGTTATATTCAAAATTAATATTTCTCCTAAGAACAAAAGCAGCGATCCAGCAACAATAGATGTTAGTAAGCATAGCAGTAATAATAATAGACGACCTAATACAAGGGGTGTTATCTTTAACGTAGGAACTGCCGTATTTGTTGCAACATCTGGTGAATGGAAGTAGCGTTCAATTAGATCTGTTATCATGTTCCATTCCAATCGTAACTCCGATAATTGATTAGTGCTATTAATTGGTAGTACGTATTCATTAAGCTCCAATTTGCATAATATATAAGTACAACAGCGAGGAATCACTAATGTAATTAAACCAACATAAATTATTCCGTATATCATAGCGCGTAGCTGAAATCATATATAAAGAAAAATTAATAATCTTTTTGGTGTTTTTATTCATACTAAAGATACCCAAAGTAAATCGTTGTAATGAATAAACTTCATAAGGTTCATCAAACTAAGTAACTTGAGAGGCACCATGAGTTGAAGTAAAACAGCCGAGCAGGTAAACATCACAAGATTCAAAGCATAAAACGGACATTGCCCTCTTGGAATTTGAAATAATTTCTAAAATAATTACCAATTAAGCAGTTAATTAATAAAAGTAAAAAAAATTGGTACCTTGTCAAAAAAATATTCCATACAAGGAAAGCGCATGATTTTCGCAAGTAGGACTGGATGCACTACACGTTGCAAATGAAAGAGTGTAACCCACAAGCAAACCACATAGAGCGCCCCAATAAGATAAAACTTGCCGATAGTTTTAATTGGACTACTTTTATAAGCATTCCGCATTTGAGTCAAACTACTACCGTGCATCGAAACCGTACTTACACAAACGAAGAACCCACATAACAGTGGCACAACCACATATTGGAGCACAATCAGCACTATAGCTTTAATTAGTAGTACTGTTCCATAATTGCTAAGACTTTTCAAGTAGTGCAAAAACAACAAAAGCAATTTTTTCCAAGGCGATAAAAAATTAATTTTCAGTTTATATATGAAGTTGCACTTCTTGCAATAAAGTTGATCCGTATCTGCTATCATTTGTATCAGGCAATCCTCGTGTACATACTTCTCTTCATCAACGCATTTGCATGGTGTACACATAATATGCTTTACCCCTTTAACCTGATGGCAAATGCGACAAACCTCCTTCTCACTTGTCATTTTTATGTACAAAAGATACTAAAATTGCGTTTTATTTAACGATACCTATATCAGTATGATATATAGAGTGGCTGTCTGGAAATAATACAGGACATTTCTTCTTTATACTTTTAATTCAATGAAAATTATTTCCGTTGGGAACATATTGACACTAGCAAGAAATGAATAAACAAATGAACCGAAAAGCGTTTCCTTCAAATAATTATGGACCATCCCGATTTTCAACTATTTGACTAAAAATTTTCTCGGTTACAAAATTAACGACACGAACACAAACTAAATCAAATAATATTTGATGTTTTTTTAAAAAAATATCCCTGCGCACTCAATTGATATTTTATTTTAAACTAAACCGAATAAATTGTAGAATTGATGAAACTTCGTATGTACTTCGTTGGTATTCGTCACTACTTCGTTGTTAAAACAGTACAGCTCTCCAATAAATGTCAGAACTGCAACTTTAAAAAGCGAAATGTATATTTTTGTGTGGATGTGTTAGCGATTCTATAAAATAAAACAACACCTTTGGAATAAAGGACAATCAAAGAGCATCAATACAGTAGGAAAAGTATGAAATTTCAAAATATGTGGTGTAAGGATGGATATTTTTACCAATTTCCAACCTACATATAACTAGTGTGCAGTTAATACCTGATATAAAAATTGGTTAACTTTTTATATAATATATTAAAGGTAAATAACTTACTAAAAGCCACCCCCGCATGCACGCAACTGCATCACAATGAATTAAACCTAAGATTACATTGAAAAATTAAAAGAATGCAAAATATATTCAAATAAATAAATATTGTATCTACCTTATTTATTTATTATTTAAACTTATACTTTTTAATATTTTTAATATTTATTTTATTCTAATAAATATATATAAATATTTAAAGCTGCCACTACCGACACTAAGCTAAACACGTTTCAAAACAAAACAAATGCACAACACAAGAAACGTCAAAAAAACTTTTGTGCAAAGAGCTTTGTGTAAAAATTGATGCGCGAGCATATTAACTACGTCGAAAGCGCAAAACAGCAACTACGTCAAAAATGCAAGCCAGCTGTAAGCTAAGCTTAGCGCTACATTACAGTTTGGTCGATTGCGTATTTGAGGCGACGCATTTACTTAGAGAAGGCAGTTAGTGATCGACGCTTGAAGTCATCGGAGTTAGTGATCGACTCGCCAAGTGAAGCATTCGGAAACATTACCGGAACACTGATGTACACGGAGCTAAGTAAAATCCTTTCTCCAGCAAAATAATAAGTGTGAACACGTTTATAATTTGCTACCAAATCCTTGCATAAGCGTGAACACATTTATCCTATGTCACTAAAACTTATATAGGCGTGTACACGTCTATACATTAACATTGATAATCCTTTTACAACAGGTATAGAAGAATGGAAATCAGCTGAAATACAGAAAACCATCAAAGAACAATACGCTGGCGTCGAAGTAAGGAAATTACTATCAACATCAATATCAATAGCAATATCAACATCAATACCAATATCAATATTAAAGTCAATATCGTGTAATAGGATAGAAACATAGTATAATTAAGACGATTGTTAGTTTTAAAATAAATACATTAATAAAGAAAAGAAAAATAAAACAAAATTTGAAACACGGTCTTCTAACATTTTTAAATTTTATTGTAACAACCCAGGACCAACCCCTGAGTATTACCCCGGCAAACAGAGCGACAAAAAGTGTCGTTACAGTGGCGAACGCATTATAGCTTTCTTTTTCACTATTTGTATAAATGTAAATATTATGATTGCCAGTGCACTTTCTGCACATATAATATTTAATGCAAATAACACAAGAAGTAAAACACGTGTTTTAATTTCTACTTAAGTCTTTATTCGTTCTTTACCCAAAACTCTTAAAAGTAATAATAATACAAAAGAAAACGAAAAACGTTAAGTTGGTTGCTCTTTCTATTTTGCTATCGCTGTTTTTCTTTTTACAACAGATGGCCATGCGAACGTAAAAAATAGTTGATGTTGTTTACAGCCACATTATTCCCCCCCAAGTGACCTAGTGCAATCACTTGGGAACGATACCTTTTTCAACCTCGAGAACGTTCTTTTAGGGCGGTCCATACCTGAACCCCAATGGTGTAGGTTTGGCGTTTCAGGTAGCTCTTGTTTAGTTGTCGACAAATCATTTTTGGCTTCAAATGCCGGTTTTAGTCTTTCTATTGATATTGACTTTTGTTCACCGTTGACATCGATTTTGAATACTCTGTCACTCGTTCTTTCCATCACTTTGTGTGGTCCGGAATACGGTGACTCGAGTGGCTTTTTAACTCCATCTAGTCTTAGAAATACGTGTGAGCATTTATATAAATCTTTTAGTATGAAGACTCTAGCTTTTGTGTGATGAGCCGTTGGAGTTGGTCTGATGCTTCGCATGTGCTCTCTTAACTTTTCAACGAACACTTGCGGATCTGCTGGCATATCTTCGTTGATGAAAAATTCTCCAGGAACGCGCAGCTGTGTTCCATATAGTAGTTCTGCAGATGAGGCGTTTAAATCTTCTTTAACACACGTGCGGAGTCCAAGGAGCACAGTTGATAAGCGTTGTGTCCAAGGAATTTGTGGATGGCACATGAGAGCTGCCTTTAGTGTTCGGTGCATGCGCTCTACCATGCCGTTGGAAGCTGGATGGTAAGGTGTTGTTCTGATGCGGGAAGCGCCTATTAATTTCGCCATTGCAGTGAAAAGGGCTGACTCGAACTGAGTACCTTGATCCGAAGTAATTGATAGAGGTGTACCATAACGGCATATCCAATTGTCATACAAGGCTGTTGCAACTGTATCTGCAGTGATATTTTTTATAGGTATGGCCTCTGGCCAACGGGAAAATCTGTCTATTATAGTGAGACAGTACCTGAATCCATCAACTGTTGATAGCTCGATGAGATCAATGTGGATATGATTGAACCTAGTACTTGGTACTGCGATATGATTGGGCTCGAGTCTGTTGTGCCGTTGTATCTTGGCTCTTTGGCAGGATAAACAACTACGTGACCATGCTAAAGCATTTTGTCTGATTCCTGGCCAAACAAATTTAGTTCTCAACTGTTTACTTGTTGATCTACCTCCAGGATGAGCTAGTCCATGAACCGCATCAAAAACTGCTTTACGAAGCTGCTTAGGAATAAATGGTCTTATGGTTCCAGACGAGATATCGCAATAAATAAATATGTTTTGTTCTGGATCAACGTTAAGTCGCTGTAATTTTAATGAAGAATTGGAATTTTTTAACAAATCTTGAAGTTCGTCATCGTTAGCTTGAGCTTGTTGAATTTCGTGTGAACTGATAATTGTTGGCATGTCAATCTGGTTGATTCTGGACAATGCATCAGCTACAATATTATCTTCACCTTTGACGTACACTATCTCTGTGTTGAATTGTGATATAAAGGACAACTGGCGAAGTTGCCGAGGTGAAGCTTGTTCAGTCTTCCTATGCAATGCATAAACGAGAGGTTTGTGATCGGTTTTAGTTACAAATGGGCGATCTTCTAAGAAGTGCTGGAAAAATTTAACTGCTGAAAACACTGCGAGGAGTTCTCGATCGTAAGTGCTGTAGTTGCATTCAGTTGAATTTAATTTTCTTGAAAATAAACCAATAGGCTTGAATTGACTTTCAACGAACTGCTCTAGAACTGCTCCGATTGCGGTGTCAGAGGCATCTGTTGTGAGAACTAGAGTTGCTTCGGGGTTTGGAAATGACATAAGAGTTGCTTCAGCTAGGCTTTCTTTGCATTTTATGAAAGCTTTGACTGTTTCTGCCGTCCATGGAATTTTTCTTTTATCATTTTTTTTCGAATCTTTTATAAATTCGTTGAGAGGTGCTTGGAGTTTGGCTGCATTAGGTATACATCTGCGATAATAGTTGATTACACCGAGGAATCTTCGTAAATCTTGAATCGTTTCAGGTTGTTTATAGTTGACAATTGCTTGAACACGCTCTTTAGGTGGCTGATAACCATTTTGGTTGATAGTATAACCCAAATATTGTACTTGCTCTTCGCCAAAAACACATTTGCTGACATTAATGACTAACTTATATTCTCTAAGACGCTGACAAACTTGCTTCAGATGCTCTTGATGCTGCTCATGGGATTCTGACATGATAATTACATCATCTATGTAGGCGAATACAAAGTCAAGTCCTCTAAAAACAGAATCGACAAACCTTTGGAAGGTTTGCGATGCATTGCGTAATCCAAACGGCATAACGACGTATTCGTACAGGCCAAATGGGGTATTGATTGCTGTTTTTGGAACATCTTGCGTTGCCATGGGTATTTGGTGATAGGCTTTTATTAGATCTAATGTTGAAAACACCTTTTTTCCATGTAATCTCTGGAAAAGATCTTGTAGTAGTGGTAGTGGATACCTGTCTGGCGTTGTTTTAGCATTTAATTTTCTGTAATCACCACAAACGCGCCAGCCATCATTTTTTTTTGGTACAAGATGAACTGGACTTGCCCACGAACTTCGTGACGCTCTTATGATGCGTTGTTCGAGCATACATTCGATTTCAAGTCGTAGTGCTTTTAGTTTTTCGCCGGCTAGTTTCCTGGGGCGTTCGAAAACTGGGGATCCAGTCGTTTCGATAGAATGAGCAGCTGGAGACTCGGTTTCCGCGAGTGGTGCTGACGTAGGTTTAGTAATGTCAACAAAATCTTTCAATATGTTAGAATAAGTATTCTGTTGATTTATGGTGGAGATGCTATGCACAGAAGTTCGTACAATGTTACATTTTGTTGTGAAATTAGTGGTAACGTCGATAAGACATCGGTTACGCAAGTCAATGAGCAAACCAAAATGTTTCAGAAAGTCTGCTCCGATGATGGGCATTTGTACATCTGCAATTGTAAATGGCCATTTGAAGCATCTGCGTAAGTTGAGATCTAGCTGCAGGATCTTTCTGCCGTAGGTATTTATGACGCTTGCATTTGCAGCATACAGTTTCATTGCGCTAAGGTTTTGTTTTGTTTGAAAAAGATCTCTAGGTAATACTGATAATATTGAACCTGAATCTATTAAAAATTTTATTCTGCTTTTTTTATCATAAATATACAAACGGATTTCTTTTTTTACTGAATAGCTGTCACTTCCCGTTTGCTCTAAGGACAGCTTGTTTAGTTTCCCTGTTTTTGTGTATATGTGCACCCGTCTTCACATTTATTTGCATTTGTGCCAAAACGTTTATGGTAAAAACATATTTTGTTATTCTGTGCAAATGTTTGGTGGAAAGACTCAGGTCTTGCTCGTGCTCTGTTATTTGGTGTTCGCTCATGACTTCTCATGCTGTTGGTGATTTCTTTTACCGCTTCTTGTAAGGCTTGTACTGCTTTCTCCAGTCTATCTGTGCGTTGATCATCAGGAAATTTACTTGGATGTACTATAATGTCATTAACATTACTAGTGGCCATGACACTTTGTACTGGATTGATTTCGATTAACCGATCAGCCATATTTGCTGCTGCCGTGAGACTGCTTTCTACATTGACCGACAGAACGAACTGAACGTTGGCTGGTAGTCGCTTTAACCAGAGTGAACGTAAGACATCTTCTGTTACTTTGTTATCTGCTAAGTCTTGCATTTTGCGTAACAATTGCGAAGGTTTGCTGTCTCCTAATTCAATGTCGTATAGTAAAGTTTGTAACTGTTGTTCTTGCGTTGGTCTTAGACGACTGATAAGACATTCTTTAAGTGTTTTATACTTGTCGGTATCAGGAGGATTTTTGACTATGTCTGAGACATGTTGCAGTAATTCTGGATCAATGTAAGAAATTACTGTCCAATATTTGCTGTTGTCTCCAGTAATCTTCTTGCGATGGAATGCTGCGTCCACTTGGATGAACCACAAGGCTGGATCTTGTTTCCAAAATGGCGGTAACTTAAACTCCACCGACGCTACTTCTTTTTCGTCAGAATGCTCTTGCGTGGCATGACTTGTAGAAGGCTGCTGCTCGGTGTTCAGATCAGAAGGTTGCGTGTTCAAATCACGTCGGGGTCACCAATTATAGCTTTCTTTTTCACTATTTGTATAAATGTAAATATTATGATTGCCAGTGCACTTTCTGCACATATAATATTTAATGCAAATAACACAAGAAGTAAAACACGTGTTTTAATTTCTACTTAAGTCTTTATTCGTTCTTTACCCAAAACTCTTAAAAGTAATAATAATACAAAAGAAAACGAAAAACGTTAAGTTGGTTGCTCTTTCTATTTTGCTATCGCTGTTTTTCTTTTTACAACAGATGGCCATGCGAACGTAAAAAATAGTTGATGTTGTTTACAGCCACATTATTCCCCCCCAAGTGACCTAGTGCAATCACTTGGGAACGATACCTTTTTCAACCTCGAGAACGTTCTTTTAGGGCGGTCCATACCTGAACCCCAATGGTGTAGGTTTGGCGTTTCAGGTAGCTCTTGTTTAGTTGTCGACAAATCATTTTTGGCTTCAAATGCCGGTTTTAGTCTTTCTATTGATATTGACTTTTGTTCACCGTTGACATCGATTTTGAATACTCTGTCACTCGTTCTTTCCATCACTTTGTGTGGTCCGGAATACGGTGACTCGAGTGGCTTTTTAACTCCATCTAGTCTTAGAAATACGTGTGAGCATTTATATAAATCTTTTAGTATGAAGACTCTAGCTTTTGTGTGATGAGCCGTTGGAGTTGGTCTGATGCTTCGCATGTGCTCTCTTAACTTTTCAACGAACACTTGCGGATCTGCTGGCATATCTTCGTTGATGAAAAATTCTCCAGGAACGCGCAGCTGTGTTCCATATAGTAGTTCTGCAGATGAGGCGTTTAAATCTTCTTTAACACACGTGCGGAGTCCAAGGAGCACAGTTGATAAGCGTTGTGTCCAAGGAATTTGTGGATGGCACATGAGAGCTGCCTTTAGTGTTCGGTGCATGCGCTCTACCATGCCGTTGGAAGCTGGATGGTAAGGTGTTGTTCTGATGCGGGAAGCGCCTATTAATTTCGCCATTGCAGTGAAAAGGGCTGACTCGAACTGAGTACCTTGATCCGAAGTAATTGATAGAGGTGTACCATAACGGCATATCCAATTGTCATACAAGGCTGTTGCAACTGTATCTGCAGTGATATTTTTTATAGGTATGGCCTCTGGCCAACGGGAAAATCTGTCTATTATAGTGAGACAGTACCTGAATCCATCAACTGTTGATAGCTCGATGAGATCAATGTGGATATGATTGAACCTAGTACTTGGTACTGCGATATGATTGGGCTCGAGTCTGTTGTGCCGTTGTATCTTGGCTCTTTGGCAGGATAAACAACTACGTGACCATGCTAAAGCATTTTGTCTGATTCCTGGCCAAACAAATTTAGTTCTCAACTGTTTACTTGTTGATCTACCTCCAGGATGAGCTAGTCCATGAACCGCATCAAAAACTGCTTTACGAAGCTGCTTAGGAATAAATGGTCTTATGGTTCCAGACGAGATATCGCAATAAATAAATATGTTTTGTTCTGGATCAACGTTAAGTCGCTGTAATTTTAATGAAGAATTGGAATTTTTTAACAAATCTTGAAGTTCGTCATCGTTAGCTTGAGCTTGTTGAATTTCGTGTGAACTGATAATTGTTGGCATGTCAATCTGGTTGATTCTGGACAATGCATCAGCTACAATATTATCTTCACCTTTGACGTACACTATCTCTGTGTTGAATTGTGATATAAAGGACAACTGGCGAAGTTGCCGAGGTGAAGCTTGTTCAGTCTTCCTATGCAATGCATAAACGAGAGGTTTGTGATCGGTTTTAGTTACAAATGGGCGATCTTCTAAGAAGTGCTGGAAAAATTTAACTGCTGAAAACACTGCGAGGAGTTCTCGATCGTAAGTGCTGTAGTTGCATTCAGTTGAATTTAATTTTCTTGAAAATAAACCAATAGGCTTGAATTGACTTTCAACGAACTGCTCTAGAACTGCTCCGATTGCGGTGTCAGAGGCATCTGTTGTGAGAACTAGAGTTGCTTCGGGGTTTGGAAATGACATAAGAGTTGCTTCAGCTAGGCTTTCTTTGCATTTTATGAAAGCTTTGACTGTTTCTGCCGTCCATGGAATTTTTCTTTTATCATTTTTTTTCGAATCTTTTATAAATTCGTTGAGAGGTGCTTGGAGTTTGGCTGCATTAGGTATACATCTGTGATAATAGTTGATTACACCGAGGAATCTTCGTAAATCTTGAATCGTTTCAGGTTGTTTATAGTTGACAATTGCTTGAACACGCTCTTTAGGTGGCTGATAACCATTTTGGTTGATAGTATAACCCAAATATTGTACTTGCTCTTCGCCAAAAACACATTTGCTGACATTAATGACTAACTTATATTCTCTAAGACGCTGACAAACTTGCTTCAGATGCTCTTGATGCTGCTCATGGGATTCTGACATGATAATTACATCATCTATGTAGGCGAATACAAAGTCAAGTCCTCTAAAAACAGAATCGACAAACCTTTGGAAGGTTTGCGATGCATTGCGTAATCCAAACGGCATAACGACGTATTCGTACAGGCCAAATGGGGTATTGATTGCTGTTTTTGGAACATCTTGCGTTGCCATGGGTATTTGGTGATAGGCTTTTATTAGATCTAATGTTGAAAACACCTTTTTTCCATGTAATCTCTGGAAAAGATCTTGTAGTAGTGGTAGTGGATACCTGTCTGGCGTTGTTTTAGCATTTAATTTTCTGTAATCACCACAAACGCGCCAGCCATCATTTTTTTTTGGTACAAGATGAACTGGACTTGCCCACGAACTTCGTGACGCTCTTATGATGCGTTGTTCGAGCATACATTCGATTTCAAGTCGTAGTGCTTTTAGTTTTTCGCCGGCTAGTTTCCTGGGGCGTTCGAAAACTGGGGATCCAGTCGTTTCGATAGAATGAGCAGCTGGAGACTCGGTTTCCGCGAGTGGTGCTGACGTAGGTTTAGTAATGTCAACAAAATCTTTCAATATGTTAGAATAAGTATTCTGTTGATTTATGGTGGAGATGCTATGCACAGAAGTTCGTACAATGTTACATTTTGTTGTGAAATTAGTGGTAACGTCGATAAGACATCGGTTACGCAAGTCAATGAGCAAACCAAAATGTTTCAGAAAGTCTGCTCCGATGATGGGCATTTGTACATCTGCAATTGTAAATGGCCATTTGAAGCATCTGCGTAAGTTGAGATCTAGCTGCAGGATCTTTCTGCCGTAGGTATTTATGACGCTTGCATTTGCAGCATACAGTTTCATTGCGCTAAGGTTTTGTTTTGTTTGAAAAAGATCTCTAGGTAATACTGATAATATTGAACCTGAATCTATTAAAAATTTTATTCTGCTTTTTTTATCATAAATATACAAACGGATTTCTTTTTTTACTGAATAGCTGTCACTTCCCGTTTGCTCTAAGGACAGCTTGTTTAGTTTCCCTGTTTTTGTGTATATGTGCACCCGTCTTCACATTTATTTGCATTTGTGCCAAAACGTTTATGGTAAAAACATATTTTGTTATTCTGTGCAAATGTTTGGTGGAAAGACTCAGGTCTTGCTCGTGCTCTGTTATTTGGTGTTCGCTCATGACTTCTCATGCTGTTGGTGATTTCTTTTACCGCTTCTTGTAAGGCTTGTACTGCTTTCTCCAGTCTATCTGTGCGTTGATCATCAGGAAATTTACTTGGATGTACTATAATGTCATTAACATTACTAGTGGCCATGACACTTTGTACTGGATTGATTTCGATTAACCGATCAGCCATATTTGCTGCTGCCGTGAGACTGCTTTCTACATTGACCGACAGAACGAACTGAACGTTGGCTGGTAGTCGCTTTAACCAGAGTGAACGTAAGACATCTTCTGTTACTTTGTTATCTGCTAAGTCTTGCATTTTGCGTAACAATTGCGAAGGTTTGCTGTCTCCTAATTCAATGTCGTATAGTAAAGTTTGTAACTGTTGTTCTTGCGTTGGTCTTAGACGACTGATAAGACATTCTTTAAGTGTTTTATACTTGTCGGTATCAGGAGGATTTTTGACTATGTCTGAGACATGTTGCAGTAATTCTGGATCAATGTAAGAAATTACTGTCCAATATTTGCTGTTGTCTCCAGTAATCTTCTTGCGATGGAATGCTGCGTCCACTTGGATGAACCACAAGGCTGGATCTTGTTTCCAAAATGGCGGTAACTTAAACTCCACCGACGCTACTTCTTTTTCGTCAGAATGCTCTTGCGTGGCATGACTTGTAGAAGGCTGCTGCTCGGTGTTCAGATCAGAAGGTTGCGTGTTCAAATCACGTCGGGGTCACCAATTATAGCTTTCTTTTTCACTATTTGTATAAATGTAAATATTATGATTGCCAGTGCACTTTCTGCACATATAATATTTAATGCAAATAACACAAGAAGTAAAACACGTGTTTTAATTTCTACTTAAGTCTTTATTCGTTCTTTACCCAAAACTCTTAAAAGTAATAATAATACAAAAGAAAACGAAAAACGTTAAGTTGGTTGCTCTTTCTATTTTGCTATCGCTGTTTTTCTTTTTACAACAGATGGCCATGCGAACGTAAAAAATAGTTGATGTTGTTTACAGCCACAGCATTAATCAGCGCTACGCCATCTGTCGTGATGTAAAAACTAAACTACAAACAGCAACTAACCTAATGGTCCTTCTTCTCCCAAAATAATATATATTTACAACATATATCTAAAAGTGTTTCGATTAGTAATAAAGTGATAATGCAGAAGTACCATAGATATGATTTAACTGTTTACTGATCTCTTGTGATTTTTAAACCTTATAGTTATATAGTTATTAATTAAGTATAAAAATATATAGATGCTGGCAGATTTAATTACTGTCCCGGAGAACTACCCTTCTGGTAGAGATTCCGAAGACTTTAATTGCATGCAAAGTAAAGGTATTATGCCATGTCCGCGTAAGCGCCTTTCTTGCTTGAAAATATTAAAGTATTTTCTTACCTTTAATCTTTATTTCTAGTATAGAAGTTGTTAAATCGCAAAGAGTATTTGATAACTGAATCATTATTTCAACCTGTCAGGATATTCAATTTATATATTAAGTATTTAATATTAATCCATTTTTTTTCTTTACATAAAAAAAAACACGAAATTATTTCTTTCCTTAAATTACAATAAATAAAATAATAAAAAAAAATTAAGCCTACAAGTCTCATACAGTCGCTTTCGATGCTTTTCACCTACCAGTAAAAAAAATAAGACTATATATAGTCGGCAATCGATGAACTAAACCGGTTGGCTGACATCACCTTCATCGGGTTCCTGGACATAGAAACATCGAAGAGAACGAGAAAGTTGACAGTTTATCCCGCTCTGGTGCTTCCCTTGAATATTAATGGTGCTTCCCTTGACCATTAATAGAAGTACCTACTTCTACTTTCTTCAACTTGCCAATAACAGTTGGAAAACACTTAAGTCATGTGCAACTTCCAGGTTAACATGGCCTACCTATAATAAATTTAGATCCTTGGAACTCATCAAAAGTGACCGCGTGAACACTGCAATTCTTTCTGGCCATTAGTGTATAGGAATCTACGCAGAGCAACTGTGGATTCTTTATAATCCCCACTCCTGAAGTTATGAAACCATGATGTATTTTCTCTGTGAATGCCTTGGTGTTCAGAAGAAATATGATTTTAGGAAGATACTTCTTTGACAGTTTATTAGACTGCTCATCGATGAAGACGAGAGACCTATTAAATTATCTAAATTTAACAGAATGGGTATAGTCTCTACTCTTTTATATAAGAAGTTCTTGCGAGAAGTAGTAGCAAAACCACGAGAAATTGCTAATTAAAGTACATGCAATACTTTACAATAACAAAAACTTAACTAATTAGCAATATGCTAAATCTAACGAAGTTCACAAAATTAGAGAAACGACTTAAGCACACCGCTCATCTGCTATAAATTGATATTTGTTGTTAGTACCTTCAGAAAATTTTCCACATGCCGTCAAATTCATATGCAAATAATGGTATTTATGATTATACACTTAGCTAAAAGTATCTTAATACACCTATAGTACAAATAAAAGTTGTTGATAATTGCTATTGTATAAAAAAAATGCTTTTTCTTTTATTTATTTATCAAAACATTCTTCAAAAAATTATATTCTTCTTCACAATCATAATAATTAAGCACCGCACTTTGAACAAGTTCGTTCAACTTCGGTCCATAAAAGGCATGCATTCGGTCCAAAAACTGGAAGTAATTCTGTTAGTATATTATAATAACGTACGGCAAGATTATTGCATTGGAAATGTAATTCATAATCGACGAAATCGGGCTTATGGTAACAAACCATTTTCTCGAATTTAAAAGCGCACCACAGAACTTGATATACTGCTAGCGGATGGTAAGATGCCACATTTCTTAATGTAAATGAACGCTTATTCATGGACTGAGCAACCTTTATAGTTCTGAAGTGCAGTTCAATAAATTTTTCTGTTAATCTAGGACAATGATCAAAAATATATCAAAATTATTTTCAGCACGCGATCGTATATATGAACTTACTTCTTGATAACAGCGGGTACATCTTGTTTAATTGTATATTGCAAGAAAGCAATACCGCGACTTTTTCCATTTGCACGTAATTTAAAACGCAATTGGTGGATTTCACCAAAAGTTAAAGCAATCATGGCCAACTGATCAACCGACATGGTTTGTGGAATGCCAGAAATAAATATCTGAGAAGATAATATGAATTTTAAAAATGATGCATTAAGGAACCCATAAAATATTTCAACAATAAATTTTGAGAGCAATTTAAATAACTTACCTCATTTAACTTTAATTTTTGGCGATCAAAGTCCTCAGGACTTATATAGGAACTATTTTTTATATACGCAGTATTAGTTGTTAAATATTTTGAATATATTCCCTTTTCCATAATTTAAAAAAATTAAACTTCCACGTAAAAATACAAATTAAATTAATTGAACAGACAAACCCGTCCGCGTCTCTTGTGGTACGAACTGCTACCGAATAACGGCATAAAGAGTAGCACATGTGGTTTTCTATTGAAATTGCATTCCTGAGAATTAGCGCTTCTAGGAATAATTTTCAATTTACAAGGTTGCTTCTAAGAATTCGAACTACCTAAAAGTATGCTTTCAGAACAGAAATGTTTATTTAGAAATATGTTAAATACACTATATCTCTGAATCTATTGTAGTACGAATTGGTACTGACCAATGAAATGAAAAGAAGAATTTTTAAATAACATTTCTTAGAATTATCGTTTCTAATAATAAAGTCCAAAGGGAGCTTTGATAGCAGGGTTGCTTCTAGGAATTCATGTCAACTGAAAGTTATAATTTAGATTATAATAATAATAGATAAGACATATGTAATCGATTGCAGTATAAATTGTTATCGAATAGAGACACCAAGTGTTTTTAAGAATAAAATACAATGAAAGTTTCTAAAGCAGGGTTCTTTTTAATAATTCTCATTACCTAAAAGTATACTTCTAATATCTTAATGAACTTTTTGTTTGATGTACGAACAGGGACGGTAACAGTTATCATTAAAAAAATAAAATTCACCTTACAACGATTATCAGTCGCATTTCATAATAGAAATTTGCTTTGTATTGTATATGTTATATCAAAAATAATAATTATCATGTGCCTCTTATTTTTCACGCACAAATAACTCTTACAAATAACTCTCTTAAAATAAAAAGAAGAGTTTTTTATTTTAAAACGCGCAAATAACTGTTATTTTTGCCTTAAAAATATAAAAATCAAGAATAGCTTTTATTTTTGAAAAGAAAATATAACTCACACGGCGTGCCTGATATTTTTAAAAATGAAAATATAAAATGCATTTTGAATGCAAAATAGTTGTTTTTGTAATTTCATATAAAGTGTATGTTTACCTTTGACTTCTTTAGCCTAATGAGCTTCCACGTACTCATACTTATGTCAGAGTTTCCCAACCGAATAAACTCCAGAATCCGCTGAGGATCGGACGTTTCGGCTGGAATCCAGGAACACGCTCTTAGTCGGCTTGGAATTTGCTCATTAACAACAACTTTAAGTGTTGCGCCTGGCCAAAACTCACCCATTCTGGCGATGGCAATGCGAAATACATCAACAGAATGTTGATGTGTACAAGCGACTAGCTTCACATGGCCCTGGAACCATCCACTGTCGCGACATTTGAGCTGGCAATTTCTTTAGGACTTCAATGTCAAATTTAGGAACTGGAGCTCGATTTGATCCCACTTTCCAGAGGTAATAGTGCCATCTGGGTCATTCTCATCAATGACCGCAATCGCGTAGCTAAAGGATTTAGTAAAAGTGTTATTGCCACGAAATTTTGCATTTTTGGCATTAAGTTGACTCCTCTAATTAGCGCTGACGCTTCGAAAAAGACTCCTTTTTCTCTTCCTTGGGAGTATTGAGGATTTGTTTTGCTTAGGCTAGCCTATCCTTTAGAGAATCGGATGTGACCGAAATATTTTTATATTTCTCGAACAGATTTTTCTCTAAGGATGGTCCAACCTCTTATGGTACCCTCTTATTATCGTCAGACCTTGTTGAGATTTGTAGTACTGAAGAGCTCGGTTTTGGTGAACTTGCTTTTATGTTTTTATTTGATTTTTCTTGGTTAATAATTTAAACTCACGAGTTGCAGAGAAAGGAGAGTCGATCCCGGCAGAGATTCGCTATACCCGGACAAGACTATCTAACAACTGGAGGGTGTCAGTTATCCGAAGACTTCTGTTCACTTACTAAGTTATTGTTAAAATTTTTATTTATATTTTAAAAATATATTTTGATTCAAATATTTCGAATTACTTTGTAGATCATCTCCAAGGTACATATATTTAAATTTTACATTTTATTTATCGATACAAATTTAGGAAATAAAAATAAAATTAATTTTCGTAAATATATTGTTAATATTTTCATTTAATTTCATGTTTGTTATGTTTATATCTCATTGTTGTCATTTATAATAGACGTGTGTCATCGATTTCCACTAGCAACGAATTCATTTAAGGTATACATCATTTTGTCATCAAATGGATTTATTTGCATAAATTATTATTGAATTTCGTTAACGCGAATTTGATAAAATTTATCCTTTTAATGATTTATTTTGCTTTTACAAACGCTGATGACAACACGATAAACACATCAATCCATACTTATTTATTTGCCATAATGGAACAACACTGGGGACTAGCACTCCAATGTAATTGGGCCATTACCTGGTATCATAACAACGAGTACAATTATCTAGGATACATTATGTATGTCAATATTAGCTTAAGTTGATTGAATTAGCGTTGAATAAGAGGCGAATATGAATGCATAATTTCTTGTAATATTTAACCCGATTCGTATGAATTGTGATGAATACAAGGCATTTGCAACGAAATTTTATAACATTTGATATAATTGAACGCATTCATATAATTATCTTTACTTGTATATCATATAATCGTTTTAAATTAATAAAAAAAATAGTTGGAATAATATTTTTAAACCTATATATCAAATACGTCTGATGTATCAGTATCGGTATAGATATGTTTTATTATCTTCATAGTTTTTAATTCATTTTTTTAGTTCAGTTAGCTGAAACTTTGGCTGTTGTTCTTTATAAACATGAAACATGAACATAAAACATTGAAGCATAAACATATGGTATATATTAGTAAGTTTCTTTAATGGTGAGAAAAGTTTTAGTGACTACTTTAAATACTTCGATAAATGATGGCTTTTTGTTATATACTTATCTTTATATATTTCATACCATTCTATTTTATTTTCACGAAAGATTACTTTATACTTCATCACGTCTCTAGTTCTTAACTAATGTTAATTGCGAAAACCGCCATAAAGGAGTGAAGTATATATTCGTATAATAAGTTAAGTATCATCTAAAGCAATGTCATCCTCGACTAATCTTTATGGCATTTGGTAGACTGCAACTGTTACTCTTATAATTGAGCCCAAATTCAAAACAAAATTTGTGATATACGTCATAGATTTGAAATACAGTGTTTTCTGCTGTATTACAGATATAACGGGATTATAACATAACTTAAGTGACTAGATAGATTGGATTAAACAATGTAATTTATTTCGTAACCAGCAGATAAAGAATATTTGGCTTCAGTAATGAAATATTGTGCCTATATGTCTTATGTCAAAATATAACATCGCATCTTTCATTGTAAGTAAAAGTAGGACTTAATAAGCCCTACTTTCAATCAGACTCATGCGAAAATCTCTAAAGATTTTCATATATATACCTTATATCAAAACATAAATGAAACAAAATATTTATTCTCATTTAACCCTCTAGTACCCTAATATTCTTTCTGTTTGAAAAAATTACTGGATATAGTTTCAAAGTAACTAACCAATATTTTTTAAAAAAAAGGTTTGTATATCACATTTGAGAGTTTGAAAAAATATTGTCATTTGTGTAATCAATATAACAATTATTGACAGCATCATAGCAGTTTAATTGTAGGCTGCCTTATTCTTAGATACTCTTAGGAAGTAGAGGGTTAAGCGCCTAGTTTAAAAAGTATATTCTCATTTCGTCTTTAGCTAATGGGTAGTAGGTGTTCATATTCTGTTCTTTAATACTCAAAAGTTCATTATAAGACAAAAATAAGATAGAAGTACTAACCAACAACTGCTTGAACATCAAATACGTATTAAGAGAACTTAAAGTAATATATCATTAAAAATTAATACATATTAAAATTCATATATTATATATATATATATATATATATATCAGTATATGAATAAGAGGAGTGAGTCTTTCAAAAATCTAGTCTCCATAAAAAAAGACAATAAAAATAATTTCTTTGTACTGAGAATCAGCTAATAATACAAAATCAAGAATCTATTCGGAAAAAAAATTGATTCAGGGAGAATAAAAAAGATAATAGATAATATCATTTATCTATGAGGTGAGTTGTTCGAAACTGTACTTAATTAGTCTCTATTCATGATTTCCAATTGCTTGTTATCTTTTAAAGATGCATACTCAAAAGATGTGCCTTGATTTAAAGGAAAACTTTAGAAACGTGCTTTTTAGACCCTGTTAATAACGCTAATTAAGCAATAATGGTTTATTTTAACGTCACAAGTTAGAAGACGTAGGCATACCAACGAGAATCATCGAGATCCGCGAGTACAGTCTTCAGTAGAACTAAGGCTATTTTTCTTTTCACATTTTTTCAAATGTTTGTCCTAAGAACCCAATACTAATATACTATGCTTCTTACTCAATACTAACAAACCCAATATAAGCTTAGCTAAGACAGGGGTACAAAGAACTAGGATGTGTATTATTTTTACAATAACAAATCTCAGATACATATCTATAAAATTCTTTATAATGTTTCTTAGAAGATGTCTTATAATGAAAACAGAAACCCTTTTTATTTTTCAAAACAGAAATTTTCGAAATTATACCAATTCTGGTCACGTAATATATTTTATTTATTTTTTTTGATAATTTTGTTAATCGACGCACCTAATTTTCTTTATTTAAAGAAATTGCCAAAAGTTTCGAGAAGAAGAAGCAGAAAGCAGTAAATTTTATGGCTATAAATTTTACAAAGAAGTTAAAAGTTTTCACTCATCGATATGGCAATACCACCTACTAATGCCACATAAATAAATTGGAAAATTTATGGGCTCCATTTTGTGCTCAATTAGATTATGTTTGGTATTTATATACGTCATTTCCATTAGATTTCGTTGGTATTTGCTGACTGGCATTCTTGAAATATTTTATTATTTCCACATCTAAAAAAGTTCCTTAAATTCCACGGCATGCCATGAATTTTGCTCCGTGTTCC